GGAACGAACCTACATCTGTGACTTCATATCCCATCCATTGTACTATTAGGATCGCTTCCTGGGAATGTGGACCTTTTATATATTGGACTATGTTAAGGTATTACTTGGACTTCTCAGAATTTTTATAAGTATTTATTTTACATGTTTTACGGCGCACCCTTGTCCTTCCCTTTCTTAAATTTAAAATAGTTTTAGAATTAATTTATTTTGGGCTAGATTTGGCTTATAATTTGGATTTAATTTAGGATTCAGGATTTAGACTGGTATTAAAATAGTTAATAAAGATAACTCCTAGGTGGTTAGATAATTTAGGATGCCCACATCAGATACGAAATACTACATTTCTATGGAACAATGGTATAAAAACTGACGACCCTAGACAAAAAGATCAATGCCTCAAAACAAGCATGTCAAACTCAAAGGCTAGCAAGGGCCAAGTAAACAAGGGGCCGCAAAAAAACAAAAACTTAAATTTCACACAGAATCACTCCGACACACAGGCTCCCTCACAGAAACACACAATTACTCAGACACACAGGCTCCCTCACACATACACACTGACATACACACACACTCAATCACACAAACAGCCTTGCACACAGGCAGCTATGGAGACAGCCATGGGCACAGACTCACAGATAGCCATACAGAGACACAGCCATACAAACAGCCATGCACACAGACAGCCATACACACACAGCCACCGATGCACGCACACACACACACACATTTCCCCCATAACACTCTTTTTTTATTATTTTTATTTAAATCCACCCAGCCTCCCTACCTTTGGGAGAGCTGGGTGGATTTCTTACCTGGGATCTAATGGGGCTCCTGGGCAGGCGGGCGTGCCGGCTGGAGGTGGACAGGCGCCGCAGAGTGATTCCGAGAGCCGGAGTGACATCATATTCTGGCTCCTGGCATCACTGCGGTGAGCTGAGTAGGGAGAGCTTACATTCAGCGCTCCCTCGCTGCGGCCCACGGGACGCAAACATATTAGTTGAGAGGCGTGTGACGAAGTGCCCTTCGCCACTAGTGCCTGGAGGGGACTACTGGCTAGCCTCCTGCCTTCCGACTATGGCCCATGTGCTGATAGCTGTATTTTCCCCTGCAGAAAGGTTTATTTGTGTATTTCTGCTGGGGCGTTCTGGACTTTCAGAATGGTAGTAGTGCTACCCCAGATAGCTATGTCATGGAGCCTATTTGTGTAACAAAAGACTATGGAAAAGACTTTGGCTCCATGGCGATTGAATTGTATGTATGTGATCTGAGCGCCATTCAGTAATAACGTGCACTCAGATCTAAGCTATCTGGGGATACCTTGCATGTATATGTTTTATGTAGTAACATTGTATAATTTTATGTCTTTTTGTAACCATGTGGTTAATGGAGTCTTGCCTCTGTCCTGTGAGATAATTGGATTACTTCCCAATTATCTCCAGGATAGAGAGGAGGGATTGTGATGTCACTGTGGGAGTGTTTTGTTTGTATTGTCTGTGATTGGTTATACTGTGTCCCACCCTGTGGGATGTCCCCTTGCATGGGGACTTGCATAAAAGCCAGTGTGTGGTCATTAAAACCAGATCATCTTGTACCTTTCTTGAAGCCTTGGCTCATGTTTGGGGGAAGGGATACCTACACTCTGGGGATTGCTATAATCACTTACTCCCCAGAGTAAGCTCTTGCAATAGCTTGATTTGTTCCTGTTACGCTCTCTGGATTTAGGAGAGGTTCACCCACTGGGAGCTGGATCCTGGTCATGGATCCAGGGTGGGTGGAGACGGCGAGACCCCGGTGCAGCTGTATCGCTGGAAGTGGGGTCTGCAGTGCTGATGGTGTCAGTTGGAGTGCTTGGAGTACTCAGCGAGCACTAGGCGCATCGATTGGCGGAGGTACTCAGTCAGAGTGCCAGCATTCCGTCACAGGGCGCATGCGGTCCGCGAGTATGACATGCATGCCTTAAAAGAACAATTTATTCCCTGTGCGGACACAGAAGAATATTTCAATTCCATATCAACAATTAAGAAAATAGAAATTGACACAAAAAGAATAAAAATGAGCAATTGAAACATAGATAAATATAATTACGCACAGAATCAAGTTAGACCTTATAATGTTACAAAAAGGTGGCCGCACACTGGCGGTAGGAGTGACTAGAAGGTATTATACAGTAAGAGGGAGTGTGCTGGCGCTAGGTGTGGCTATGAGGTATTATACGATCACAGTGACCGCGCTGGCGGTAGGTGTGATTCGGAGGTATTATACGGTCAGGTGATGGCGGTAGGTGTGACTAGAAGGGTGACGGTGCTGGTGGTTAGACATGTGCAATTTGTTTCATTCCAAATGTCAATTCGGACGAATTTCGGGCATTTCAGACATTCGGAGACTTACGAATAGCTGAATTGACGAAGTTCCGAAGTGGAAGAATGTTACACTGTATACAAGTTTAAATAAAAAGTATACAAACATAGCCAGGATTCAGCTGTAAGCATTTGCAACACATACAACAATCAAGTAAAACACATTCATTTTCAAATGTAAGGTACTTAGCCAGTCAATAGATGGGAATGAGTAAGTAGATAATTCCCTAATTCCCACGGTAAAAAAAAGGTCTTTGAGTCAAATTTACTAACACAAAGTAAAGATTACTAAGTATTAGTAATTAATCTTACCCTAAATCGCTATATGGGAGTAGGGGCATGTCTATTAAACAGTGCAGTATGTGTGACTATTAGGTGTTATACGTAGGTATGACTATTAGGGGTTATACGCAGGTATGACTTATACGGTAGCGGTGTATATTAGGGGTTATACGGTAGCGGTGTATATTAGATGTTATATGGTAGCGGTGTATATTAGGGGTTATACGGTAGCGGTGTATATTAGATGTTATACGGTAGCGGTGTATATTAGATGTTATACGGTAGCGGTGTATATTAGTGGTTATACGGTAGCGGTGTATATTAGGGGTTATACGGTAGCGGTGTATATTAGATGTTAT